AAGCTAGCGATAGTGACGGTAATATAAAGTGTGTGTGTGTTTTGTTATCGAGATTGCAACTGTATTGACTGTAGAAATTATGTGGGTTGCAAAGTTGTATCGAAAAAGAATAAACTAGTTTTAATTAAGAAAGGACTTGTACCGTTGAAGTTTCTCGGAAAGAATTTTTACGGGAAATTAACAAACAAGCAGATACGCAACAATATCTACCCTTACGTGAGACGCAGATTCACATTTCTAACGAAAATTTAAATGTTGTCTTGTGTATCGGTAAGGGAAATTTGGAACATAACCAAAACCATCAAAAGAAACAAATACCATGAGACTGGTTTACAAATTTTGTTAGGGGTAGTTATATATATATATATAATGCAAGCTCAAAATAACAGATTTCACAACTTAAATTATTTTCGGGAAATTATTTTGTTCTAAACTGAAAACAAACAAACATAAAAAAGAATTAGCGTCTACTACCTGAGCCTAGAGCATATTTTTTATAAAGTTTCAATCACAAGTTGTCGAATTCTATCGCATATACGATATTAATATACAGAGCTAATCATCCGCCTTCATGACGATATGCCTTTAGATGGAGGTTTGGGTTTAAACCCTCCTGTGTGGAAGTAAGTATCTCTACTTGTATTTATTTTACAAAGTACTTGTCGTCATCATCATAATTTCCATTCCATTCTGAAGGCCCAATGTCACAGTCTCTATAAGATTCAGAATAAGCTAAACACTATATTGATCATTAAGCAAGAAAGTACGGATGTAGTTTCACAATATTTTTTACTTAACATTTTGATCTGATTGTTTTAAATTTTAAAATATTGTCGAAGATAGTCATCAAAGGCCGTGACAGACATATAATTTGGCTGTTATTCAAACCCGTACATCCCCGTCTCCACCTAGACCAGTTTATAACAGGAAAGTTTCATCAGCATTTTCACTGTCACGTGCTGGAATTCGTCACCAAGGGAATCTATTGCCATCCTTTCTTGGATTGGATAAATTATTTTTTTTTATGAAATGCTACTTTAGCTACAGATTTAAGAAATAATTATATAAAATCAAAATAACTATTTCCTTTCTACTTTCTGTTTAAGGCTCAGCTATAAGCTGGAGAGTCAATAAAGCTAGAATTCTGGGTTCGCTCTATATAACACACAATACAGATGTGTGCTTAAAAAACAAGTAAACTTTTTTTAAAAGAAAACTAAAATTGTGATATTACATCACAGTCCGATTTTAATCTTATCTTTTAACTCACCTATCCCATGTTATCAGTATATGAAAGAGCATATCAATCACACTTTACATGCTCGAGGCCAATTTTTTAGGAGATCCGTTCCTCATTTTCAGTGATATATTAGTGTTACGACAGCGGAAGTCACGTGACTCTAGTAACACGTCATGAGATTCTAGAAAGATCATGTACGTTCGTGAAGCCTCGAATGTTCTCCAGATGCCCTCTATTTCGTATATATAAGACCGGCGAGAAGTGACGGCATACATATGAATAATTGTATTGCAGACAGAGAGATATAGAGACAGATAATCGAGTCAAGCGCGGTAGTAAATAAAGCGCGTGAATCGTTCGTTGTGAATTATAGCGTGTGTTTAAGTTAAAGTTACTGTGGAAATTAAGTGTATTGCAAAGTTGAATTGAGAAAGAATAAACTAGTTTTATTTAAGAAAGTACTTGTATCACTAAAGTTTCATCCGAAAGAAGTTATACGGGAAATTAACAAACGACCAGAGACGTAACAATAGTTACAGTTGGAATGACATCAGTTGTTTAAATATTAAGCCTAACGATGAAGCTGTAATATCACACGTTACGTGATTTGAATCCGAGACTTGTCTCACGCTAGAGAGTGCTCTACCAACTGAGCTAAAGACTAAAATCATTAGTACTTTCTAGTAAGACACTACTCAAACTACTACATTCTTTCCCCTCTCATTAACAAGGCCTGTTCTCGGATCTAATATCAGAATCAATACGGTAATTTTTGTTTTCACGAAGTATTTACTCGCTTCTTATTTGAACTCATCTGTCTCACGCTAAACGAGTGTTCTATCTATCATTTCCTATTAAGGGACTTTTTAACTAGTCGAACTACTACACGTAATATTGGAGTATGCTTTACCAGTTTAGATAATCTTCACCAAGAAAAAATAAAATACTGTTACGTCTCCGTTTGTTAATTGATTTTCTGTAACTTCGTTCCGACGAAACTTAAGCGACACAAGTCCTTTCTTAACAAAACTGGTTTATTCTTTCCGAATATAACTTTACCGATACATTGAACTTCAACAATTGCGCTAAACAAACGCTATAACTCTCGTGCTCTCTGACTGCAGTTCAATTACTCACTGTCTACACACACACATTACATTACCGAGTCACGCTGTCCCCCTCCTATATATACCAGACCACCCCATCCAGTAAATACTAGAGCATTCATGAAGGAACAAGATAGTTCTAGAAACTAGAGGGCGCCACACGTGACCTCGATGACGCAACAATACGTACTATATTAGTAATTCATTCTTCTTGGTGATGAAGAATTTTCTGGCTGGGAAAGAACGTCATCAAATAGTTCTATATAGTAATTCAAGAGAGCTTTGTAGTTTATAATACCAGGGTTCCAAATCGTGTAGTATTAGCCTGTAACTCCATGATAAAGTTATTGAGCCAGAAGGAAAAACATACCACAAAGTTGGAATTAGCCATATATTATAAAATAATTTGAATATAATTTCTTCCCTTCTGAAGTATGATTGTAAAGTTTTTTATCTGTGCTGTGGGAGAGCTTCAACGCATTTGTACCTTTAAAATGTCAGTAATAAACAGTTCGGTACTAAAATAAATAAATAATTTCATGCTACTAAAAATCATAAATTAAATTATGGTGTTTAATGACTTAAATAAAATTGATAAAAATGACAGTTCACCAACTTAAACTAGTTCACACCGAACCATTTATTGTTCAATTAATTGATTATATACTATGTCTGACGTATTTTAGCCTGCTTGATGATCCCTGGTATTTAGCAAAGTGCTTCGTAGGCATTGGATGTAGTGGACATAGTGTGGTTGACATATTATTACATTATTCTTAATTTCACTTGTAAATTCTTATACCTGGCATTATAGTCTTTGTGATTTTTTTTTAATTCCTAGGGATTGAAATTCTCTGCACAAGAGCGAGAAAATCTTGGACTTCGGGGACTTCTTCCACCCTCAATCCGATGTCTAGAATCTCAAATGCAGGCTGTTATAGAAAACATAGACAGACTCGAGGACAGTCTTAGTAAATACATGTATCTTCGTCAACTCCAGGTAGGAATACGTCTTCATAATTGTAAATACATGTCCATATAAAGTATGAGCACGTTTCTCTAATATAGTAAGTACGCTCAAGATCAGGTGTGAACCTGTTCTACACCTCAACTTCTCTATAACATAGTAAATAAGCATCAGTTTTAGATGTGAACATGTCCTGCGCGTCAGATTGAACTATTACTGTGGCTTTGTAATCAATACTCTTAAACTTGCAGGTATAAGCATGTCTTTATAGTGAAAACATGTATTGATGTTTTTTATACTAGTCTTGAAGACTATACTGTGTTTTAAAGAAACAAATAGTCACCATGAAACTGTTTTACATTTTATGTCTGACAAAAAAAATATCTGTAAGGGTTTTCTTGAAATTGATTTTAGTTGATTCTTGAAGGCAAGAGTAATGGTGTATGGGACTATTAGTATGTTGGTTTGATTTACAGTGTGGCAGGATAAATGGTGTAGGTGACTATTAGTATGTTGGTTTGATTTACAGTTTACCTGGGGGGAATAGTGTAGGTGATTATTAATATGCGTGGGTTTGATTTAAAATTTGACATGAGGAATGGTGTAGGTGACTATTAGTATTTGTTTGTTTGATTTACAATGTGGCAGGAGGAATTGTGTGGGTGACTATTAGTATTTGTTGGTTTGATTTACAGTGTGGCAGGAGGAATTGTGTAGGTGACTGCTAGTATTTGTTGGTTTGATTTACAATTTGGCAGGAAAAATGGTGTAGGTGACTATTAGTATGTTGGTTTGATTTACAGGAGGAATGAAGTAGATGACTATTAATATTTGTTAGCTTGATTTACAATTCAGCAGGAAGGATGGTGTAGGTGACTATTAGTATGTGTTGGTTTGATTTACAGTTTACCTGGGGGGAATAGTGTAGGTGATTATTAATACGCGTGGGTTTGATTTAAAATTTGGCATGAGGAATGGTGTAGGTGACTATTAGTATTTGTTTGTTTGATTTACAATGTGGCAGGAGGAATGGTGTAGGAGACTATTAGTATATGTTTGTTTGATTTACAGTGTGGCAGGAGGAATTGTGTAGGTGACTATTAGTATTTGTTGGTTTGATTTACAGTGTGGCAGTAGGAATTGTGTAGGTGACTGTTAGTATGTGTTGGTTTGATTTACAACTTGGCAGGAGAAATGTGTAGGTGACTGCTAGTATGTGTTGGTTTGATTTACAATTTGGCAGGAGGAAATGTGTAGGTGACTGCTAGTATGTGTTGGTTTGATTTACAATTTGGCAGGAGAAATTGTGTAGGTGACTGCTAGTATGTGTTGGTTTGATTTACAATTTGGCAGGAGGAATGGTGTATATGACTATTAGCATGTGTTGGTTTGATTTACAATTTGGCAGGAGGAATGGTGTATATGACTATTAGCATGTGTTGGTTTGATTTACAATTTGGCAGGAGGAATGGTGTATATGACTATTAGCATGTGTTGGTTTGATTTAGAATTATGGCAAGAGGAATGGTGTAGGTAGCTTTTTTGCAAAAATAAAAGTAAACAAACACTATTTGAGAGTGTTCCAACTAATACATGAAATAGCTATTATATTTAGTTATCGTTAGTGCTTAAATTTAGAGGAAAACTCTGGGGTTTGCACAACAATAACTGAAAACGCCAAATGTGTAATAAAACGTTGATACGTGACATCAAAAACAGTTTTAAAAATCCTAAGTAAATACTAATATTGTTTTCTTTTATATAATGGCGGAGTCTGGAAGCCACCATTTTCACGTTATTCTTCCCTCTCTCTCTGCTGTAACGTACGTACAAGTGTAAAGACAGAGATATACGCATGTGATTGGCTTAATGAGACACACACCTGTGTTCATGCGCTTTAACTATGTGTTGCAGAATCCTTAGTGGAAGTCCAAATCCGCGGTAACATATCCAAAAATCTGCGAATTTTTTTAGTGGATATCTACAATAAACTTTAGAAATTATGCTCTATTCCGCGTAATATATTCTCACTTTCTTATTTAGAATAATAATAGCTTATTGTGAAAATGTAAATCAAGTAGGCATAACTAGGTATATCAAACAGTTTAAGGGTAAAATACTTTCAATTTAATGTATCGAGCGTTTTGTCAATAAAAATTGAAACAAAAATACAGAAATGTAATTTATCGATATATTACAAATAATTTTGTGTAGTCTATAATAAATGATGATGAATAGTTTTATAAATTAAGAGTACGTTATCCTGTATGGATAACATAATAAACTTGCAGTTATAAATTATACAAGCGATTTACCGCTTAGCTCACCCTCACGCAGCCAATCAAACTCTTCATCACACACACACACACACACACACACACACACACACACACACACACAACAAACA